AAGAAAGAAGTAGTGCAAACAATGTGCTTCCAAATGAATCCGAATGGACAAACGATTGTCAATGAAATGAATAAAAATATTAAAGTGATAGCATCAAATGGAAATATTTTTTGTCATTTATCATATCAATTATTGTTTCTTATGCTAAAAGACATGAGTTATCGATTTTTTTATTTTCTTTATTTAAATCAAAAAGATTTCGCTACGAAAATAACGATTTGTAGGAAGCAACTCAAGGAGCGATGGAATATGTGGTACGTCGAGACTTGCCACCAAAACAAGGGACACGTTTAGTGTTGATCACTTCGTTCAATTCGACATTCTATTGGAAGCCACCTGATCAGATAACAGAAGTGGAAATATTTTTTTATGATACATACAAGAAAGTTATGGACGCACGTAGCGTAGTAAGATAAAGATTATTTTTAGCATAGAAAAGTAGAAATGTTGGAACAATTTTGTCAATATTCATTCTTTAAGCTGAAATTAAAGCTAAAATTCTATTGAAAAACTAAATCAAAATTAGAAAAGTTAAAAAAAAGCTAAAATCAAATTCCAGATAAAGGGATATCGATGCGATGGCTTGTTCCGTACAGATATTACCAGAGATGGTGTACGGGTCATGGAATTAGATTCCGAAATTGATAATCTCAGAATGTAATGTTTTAATGAAACTTAAAGTATATATGAATGTTAAAATTGGTGAAAATCGGAAAACCTTCAAATTCCTTTATCAATAATTTATTGATAAAATTTCTATTTTAGATTCGCCATTCAATTTTAGGTACCTTTTTCAACCAAGAATGCTATTCATGAAAGATTTCCTCAAATCACTAAACGCTAAAAAATTACAACGCTATATCAACCAAATAGATAAAGCACCGACAAAACAATCGGTGATTCCATCACAAGCTTTTAAAACATTTTAATCTACATTTTAATTGTTAGTTCGAAAATTTGTAATTGAAGGGTGATATGAAACTCTAACTGCTTCATTTAAAACGCTTTTAGAATAATCCAATCGAAAGATTTAAGATTTTTTGTAGGTGAACAAATCGATACATGGTGATAAAAGATATTTAATTTCAGGTTATAATTCCATGCTTTTCGATAACTTCACCCGTTGGTTTAAGATCGGTATTTGCATCATGCAATCCGTTGTACCATTTTATCTTCAAAAACAAACATCCACAATTTCCATATCCTTGTATTGCGCGAATATTTTCACCAGATAAGGCCGAGTTTGGAATGATATATGGAAAAAAATCACAAGAAAATTATGGTCCATTCCACATATATCCACTTTGGGACTATTATCATAGAACTAAAATAGTTGTATGTTTAAATTGTAATTTAAACTGAAACAGAAATTCTAAATTATTTTTATCATTATGAAAATTTTTTAGTAAATGTTTTGTAAGTAAAAAGATCAATGTTGCGCTAGTCGTTCTTTTATTACCGTTTTTGCTACTATCATCTCATTTAGCTGTATGATTACCTAAGTGATATTGTTTTAATTAAAAACTCATCAAACCATCAAAAAGCAATTTAAGCTTTTTGCTATAGTTAAAAACTGGACAACGAGAATCGAAGAGGAGAAATGATGAAGAAATGCCAGTCGTAACTTTCACTCAACGAAGTAATTTCGAATTTTAAACAAGATATTAAATAATATGCTGATTTTTCCTACTCCAATAAACCATTTAGCAAAATAATAGTATACGGCATTCGCTAAACTAAGAAAAAGAGAGTTTGAAATGACAAAATGTAAACAAATTTTTGCTACAGCCATGAAAGATGAAACAGCCGGAAAAAAATATCAGCATGTTGCGGCTGTAACTGGAAGAATGATGATCATCGAAGATCAAACTGGAATTGATCGAAAGCATTATATAGTTGGAATTCTCGAAGTTTGTTCTTTTCTTTTATTTGCTTCGTTTCACGGTCTTCTTACATATCATTGACAGATAACGCATAATTTGTCCACCATTCATCAACCATTCAAATATGAATAGATCGTTTAACTTCCATTTTATATGATGGATAATTTTATAGAACGGAAACGATGAAAATTTTGGTGGTAAAACAATAATCAGTTCACTTTCGAAATCGAAAAAGTTGAATAGAAAAAAGAAAGGAAATTCGACGAGGTACTATTAACATATTAATCATACAATGAGATGAATGTCTCTTTTTTTCAGAAACTCATCGGATGTACACAATCCGTTATGGCACATGCTTAAACGATTAGTTACAATATATAACCAAATTATATCGATAACTGTAGCAAAATGAAGAGAAAAAAAAGTTGGACATATGCATACATACGCTAAATATTCATATCATTGCATATAAGTTTACTTTCAATGACATAGGTCAAGCGCAATTGGTAGCACCGGTGCAGTAAGGAATAACATCGATCGTAATATCCCACAATCTAAGGAACCGTTACAGCACCAATACGGTTATAACTTATTGAAAAATACAATGAAGCAAACGGGCATTCAACGATCTACTCGAAAGAATGAAAGATCACAGCAGAAAAGCTCAAAAAGGTAAATGACACTAACCGAAAATTTTGCATCAATTAATTAAACATTAAATTAAATCTTATTTTCCAATTATAGAGTGATAAATTGATAAATAATTGATTGAGCAATATTTTAAAATATCACTTTCTTCATTTTATGTAAAACTTCGAATTATTTTATTTCAGTCTACAAATAATTTAGTTTCGTTTTTTTTTTTGCTTTCTCTTCCTACAACAATATGCTCATTTCCAAAATTAGTCATCTCAAACACTGTGCATAAAATTTTACAACTTTTTTTTACAACACTTGTGGTATATTTCTGAATATGCAAAATATTTGCGATAATTATCACTCAATGATGGTAATTTTTAAAAAATTTCTTTTCAATTACGATATTTTCCGGATGTTAAAATATTTAGAAGACATTCCATGATCGAAAAAGAATTTAATAATATGAGAAAAAAGTCATCAACAAACAAATTCACTAAAATTAATCAACAACATTCTAAAAAAGATGAAACAACGCAATGTGATAAATCGAAGGATGATAACAATGATCAAAATAATATCAGTAGCAAGACGCAATTGTCTACCTCATCTCAACACTCGGTGAATCGTTCATCAGTGTGATAATAAAAGAGAAGTATTGTAGATAAGATGATTCTGACTTACATTAGGCCAATTATTCACAAGTAGTCTTGAAATTAAGGATGATCTTTTATATTATATCCTGCCTGAGGCTTTTATTCTTATTTTGCATAAAAATTGGTGAAAGTTAAAAAAGGAAAAAGAATGACATTTAAAAAAGATTGGAAAAAGTTGATAGCATTAATAAGTCAATTAAGCCAATAAATGATCAATAAAAATTAAATTGCAATCGAATACAAATGCGAAAAGAAAGAAGAATGAGATAGGATTTCTTTTTCATGAAAAAAACTTTTTATTCATTAATGAAGAAAATAAATTCTATTTTAGCGACGTTTCCCAGCAGGTGCAGAAAAAAGTTCAAAAGTAAATTTTTAAAAAAATTTTTCATGTAATAACAAATGCAAAGTTTAGTAGCACATCGTTTTATCATATTTATCCAACAAAAAGAGAAGAAAAGAAAATTATAACACTGATAAGAAATGATGAAAATGACAATTGTTTTCATTATTTCTTATCAGTATTATCAATTTAAATGCCAATAAGAATCACATTAACTTGGGATTGAAATTTTTTCTGTGGTCGTTATTTGTTGCTCACTTTTCATTTTATACTACTGTCATTATTAGTTTCCTGGAAATACTTTAATATTGGAGAAGGTCTCCCTGCCGCTTTCTACCACAATCGCTTATTTCGAACATCTAAAATTCTGATATTTGTATTTCTTGACAAGAGTCGTTACCATTATCGTTCCAATTATATTGATATTGGAATTATGCACTATTTCAAAATGTTATATGCAAGTATTTTTGTCAATTTATAGGCTTCTGCTGGAGAAATTTTAAACGAAAAAACAATTAAAAAATTAAAAGCGACAATTCCACAAAGTATAATTTTACAAAATTTTAATCATAACTTTCTCAAATGTATCAAATTAACTACTTTCATACACTGT